ATTCCAGCCAGTGGTCCTGGCACAGATGTACCTCTATATCCCACACCATTGACTGCCACGTATCCCGAGATTCTTGGGCCCCGGGAAATGTATTGGGGGGCGGTCCCGCAATACATTCTGACTTGAACAGACAGATATTACACAACGCAGTGCGCAACACAACATACTGCACTACATCCCGGAATAAGAGGACGGACAGGCTCATGGCTTGTCAGTCAGCAGCAAAGTACAAGTGGGACAGTAAGAAGCTGGGGGAGTCTGTCCTGCAGCTCTGTGGACGATGCCTACGGCAGACACAAACCGTCGTCAAAGCAAAATGCCAGCGGTTGGGAAAAAGCCGACATCGATCAGGCAGCCACACCGAATAACACGCCAAGGTGGAAATGACCCTTCTCGCATAGCCTGCCACAACGAACAAATGAACGACCCCCTCTGAACTTCGTTTCTGGGGGCCGGGGTATTGTGTTGTGGCAGGCGCACCCCCCCCCCCCCACCCCAATATACACAGGTTCGAGTATGTGTGCTAAGCACATCGGATGAAGAACATGGACATCGCTGTTCTTTCATCCGTGGTCTCCCTATAGGAAGTACTGCGACCATGGCCGTCGCGCACATCGCTTTCTAGCGCCAGTACCGAAGCGCTTTGCCTTGGTAGACCACCAAGGAGACAGATTGCATTCCGGCGGAAGCGCTAGCATCGGCTTGGACTCTGAAATCCTTCCTTCAAAGGGGCCTCCCCGAGACGGCTCGAAGCCCATCAGCCCATCATCGTCACATCAGTAGAGGTGGTCTCTTTTTGGCGAAGGGGAGCTTTTGCTTTGGTAGGCGGTTTAGGGTTTTGAGGTTAAGGTCTTCGGAGGAGTTGGTGCTGTGTCAGGTGGTCAGAGATGAAGGTGACACAACCGAGCTCAAGCCTCAATCTACAACGCAATCCAAACATCTGCAGTTGATGGAGCTCGGGCACAGCATGAAGCAAACCGACGACATGCGTCGACGCACGAAATTTGAGAGCCACAGTAAACGGAAAATCTCCAGTTCAAAATTAACTCACAACTACAGAGTCTGCCTGTGTGAAACCACATTCCAGCTAAAACCGATGTTCCCCCACGACACCATCACGAGAAGGACGCATCCAAAAGACTTGGAAAGAGCATCTTGAAACACAATCTGCTTCTGTCAGGGCATCAACACGCATGTGGCTATTGGAAGCCGAAGAGATGAACAAACCGTGGCTCCATGCTTTGAGCCCGAATGTGCCCGCCTGCATTTCCTACTGCTCTTGATAAGCACGCCTGGGCACAGTATCTCTCGTCATGACCCGAAAAACACGTTGGAGCCTGCTTTAAACAAATTGCCCAGCCCGGGCAGGCAACCCAATGCATACTGATCCTTCCGGCAACAAGCCTGGCCTTGGACAAGCTGGTCTTCAGCTGGAGCAAGCTGTGCCTGCGTGAAGGGTGGTGGTATGGGTGGTGCGTGGTGGTCGTTCGGCGGAGAAATCGCCGACTGAGCGCGGGGCTGTTTTGCTCCTTTGACCTTCTTTGTTCCTGCCGGCCGCGCTGGCCTCATGTGGCTGCGGAGTCCCGTGCTACTCTGAAGCGCCAAAAGGCAGTCTTACAGTTGCAGCTAGCTGCCGCCGCGCACGGTCTTCTGGGCCTTGGTTGGCAGCTTAAGTGAGACATTGCGACATCGTGAGAACATCCAAAACAAAATCTCGCCCAGTAAGTCCTTCACAGTCGCCGCGGCATTGCTCTGAGCTCGGGCCGACAGCCTCATCAATGATACCGCCTACGTCTTCTCCTAGTTTCAAGGCATTCTCTGAACTTCTACATGTAATAGGTGCCTGAATCGTACTGTTCTAATCTCTGCGCGAGAATCAGCAGGTGCCTCTGCCAAGGCAAGTAGCAAGCACAACCTGGTGCGCCCAAGATGCTGCACATCTTTCTGAAGGAACACTTCCAGTACTCGACGCAAGCAACTGAGAATCGGTCCCAAGGAAGCGGCTGAGGCTCTGCATAGTTCTCCAATATCTCGGTACGCTGAGGGGTGACATGAAAGCTCACAACGAGTTTACCGATTCCCAGACTAGGATTCGGGCCCAAGAAACGGGCAGTAGGATGAAGACGTAAAGCGTAGTCCTTGCAAACATATCTTGCATCTCCTGTGTGTCTGTGCAGGGGTAGCGCGGCCAAGTGACCCAGCGGCAGAAACGCCCGGGAATGATTCTTTGAGATACTTACCACTTGAGCCCAAGGGCACTTTGGCAAAAAGATCATCATGGGCCTTGCTCGTCGGGCCATTCAAACTGAATCGTTTCTTCCTGCTTTCAGCCGAGATCATGATAAACACCGGTGAACTATTCTGAACGATCAGGTATTTCGCAGCAGGCGTGAGGCAAAGTGCAAAACGCTGCCAAGGCAGACATCAACCATACTTCTCTTGCTTCAAGCAAGGCTTGACGCAAGAAGTTGTAGGTTTCACTTTCCTGCCTGCGTTCTGCTAGTGCTCCAGCACCTACGAGGATCAGCTCATGACGTAGATCCCGGGCCGCGTTCTGACCTCCGGAGGTGCCAAGCGAAAGTATCGGCTCTCGAACTCAGGGTGTTCGTCATACGGGCTGGAAAACAACTGCAACAGCTCTTGTGCAAGCTGAAAGCTGCCACTTTCAGCTGACTGATATGCGTCCATGAGCATCCAGTTGCGAGGCACATACTTGGGTGACACTTGCCTCATGCGGTCTGCGACTTCGTCTGCATCATCTCCTTCCTCCCGCAAGCGGGTAAGCCACTCCCAAAGCCACTGAGACCATGCTCTCTCCAGGTCTGGACTCAGGCTTTGGTAGAAGCACCGCTGCAGGGGTGCCAAGAGACTGCCACTTTCCATCAGCTCGTCCCAATCCTGCGCTATCGTGGCAAGGCAGCGCCAGGTAAGGGTCCAGTCGGCGCCCGACTGCTCCATGAGAGAGAGGAGGTCATCGCACAGCTCAGCTCCTCTGTCGTCCCAGAAAGACAATCCCAGCTTTTGCATTCGAACCTCTGCGAATGCATCAGCCAAGAGCGACGGAAATGCCCGTAAGACGGACTGTGCCTCTTTGCGACCGTCTGTGTCAAGAAGACACTCAATCGATCGGATTGCACATGTAAAATTTTGATAGGATGCCTTGGGTTGGTCGCGAAAGCTGAACTTGTCAATACCGTCTGTCCAGCTGCACCAGTTTGGATTGTATTTCTCCATGAAGCCAAACGGGCCATAGTCCATTGTCCTTCCCCCAAGCAAGCAATTGTCAGATTGGAAATTCCCTTGGCAGAATCCGACACGCCACCATTCTGCAGTTAATCGTGCCATGCGACGTGCCATCGGCAATAGCATTCTCCTCAGAGGTGCTTGCAAGTTGGTGTCTTCAGCAGGCTCAAAGCACTCAGGGTATTCCCGGGCAATGAGATGTCGGACGATCTGCTCAAGCTCCCGTCGCTCGAGAGACTCGGGCTTATAGCCACTGTCCCTGGCACGACGGCCGAAAAGCTCCAAGTGGCCAACTCGCAAGAAAGATCTGGCAACCCGGCAGGTGATTGCACAGGGCTCGTAAACACGCTCACCCAGCCACTCACGCAGAGCACTCTCCGACCGGGACACGACCAGAGACAGGCAGCGTGTTGTTGGGACCCTGAGGTGATGCATAGCTTCGGATGCGAGGAACTCTCTCAAGCTGGATCGTATGACAGCTCTGCCATCTGCACCGCGGCAAAAAGGTGTCGTCCCGGCTCCTTTTAGCTGCAGCTCCCAGTGCTTCCCATTTCCCAAACTCACTTCTCCGACAGAGATCGCCCGACCATCTCCATACATGTTGCCGGTCGTTATTTCGTTTCCAGCCACGGACAGGGTGTAGGGGGTGCACCAGCTTCTCATTTTCGGCATGCTCTCCATGTGCCCGGACACGTATTGCAGGAAATCCTCCGATTGGCAATCTGCCTCTGAGAGGCCAAGCTGATCTGCCATGTCCGAACTGCAGGCAACGAGGCATGAATTCAACAAGGGCGTCGGCTTGACCTGGACATAGTGGCCTCAACACCAAGGAGAACACTGCATCTCAGGTCAGGATGGCGCAAGAACATTTTCTAGTTGGGCTGTGTAACACCGGGAACTCGCCTTGAACATGGCGGATGCTGTCTGTTTAACATGTGTTTTTTGGTTACATCTGCCTGCAGAGACCAGGCGCTTCTCACGGTTGGGCTCGTGCAGCTCCTGCTGGGGATCCGGAGACAGCTCCCGAATCCACGAGTGATCGGCGTGATCTTGGAGCTGCGATAGTCCTGCAGGCAAGACCTGCATGACTCTCCATTGTCGCAGCTGCCTTCGGCGTCGGACACCGTGGGCACCAGAGATGCCGAAAACAGCGGCACCCAGAAGCGAGTTAAATCCGTGCGGGGCCGGGGCATGCTGGGATTGGGATCGGCATTTGCCGGCTTGTGGCCGACTCGGCGATGGCTGCGCCTGGCTCTGCCGCACCCCAATCATGGCTCAGGCCATGGTGTCGGACCGACCATAAACATGCAGTGTCCTGAAAGAGGCCCAGTCGCTACATTCAATGCTCTAAGGCGTTGTCGTGCCTGGCCTGTGGCGATCTCCGCTCTCACACAATCCAGCCGAAGGCCGAGGGTTGTTGGTATGTGAATCTCTGTAAATCCTTTTTGGAATAGGCCTGGGCCACAGCGAAATATGTGATAAAGGGCTCAGCAAGCAAACCACCCCAGCATACCCCACACTTGTTCTTTGAACCTGCTGAGGCCAGGCGAGTGCGAGCAAAGCCGAGAACAAAACACGACTAAGAGGCGTGTGATGGGAAGGCATACACTCGCGCTGTTACTGGCAGCCGAGCAACCCGAGAACACAACAGGACTAAGACTACTCATACTGAACCGGAACATGCGCTTGCAATGGTGGCTGCAAATATTTCAGGTACGGAGTCGCATCCAGACATCTCTGAAACAAGCTGGCTGACGAATGTCATATCTGGGTTCGAAAGTACCTTCAGCAGCGTATTGCGGCTGATGTCTTTCTCATGTAGCAGACTGACATGGTCAGTCAAGTACAAAAGTCAGACAAAGAAGCACATCCGCAACTGAGCCGCTCGTCGCTTCTTCTTTAAATTTCCTTGGTTTGAGGGCTCAGATCGGCAGCGGCCACGAACGTCTCAGATATCTTGTCCTTACGCGCAAAGCAGCTCGCAATGTCACAGCAAGCTTTGCGCATTTGTGTGGTCCACACATCTACGAATCCCGCAGCATACAGAAAGGCGAAAGAACCGCCCAACTGCACCGACATCTTGGTGATCAGCGTCAGTTCCCACAGAAAGCGGAGGTGCGTAAAGACGGTGACCCATAATCCAACCACGGCGACTGCAGTCAGCCAATGCATATTGATCTGATGAGCACGCACATAATCCACCAGCTTCCACGAGCCTCCAGCGCACAAGCGGCCAGTGAACAGAAGCAAATTGGTGGCATCGAAGGTGATGGCCCAAAATGGCCGGATCAAGTACTCGATGCTCTGTTCCCAAGGTGCACTGTGTGCCTACAACGACATGATGTTGCCAACCGATTGGCGAGCCATCACACCAAAGCCATACAGCCAACCAAGGACATGCACCACTATCATCAGCGATGTGTACTTTCGCCACGAGGGCTTGATGCAGAAAATGGTGTTGAGCACCGCGAAGACGTTGAACAGCCCGAACCAAGGCATCAGAATCACGTACTCCTCCATGTTGAGGTCCTGATGGCCTTTCGACGAGGGCTGCGTCCAGATCCTGCAGAACATCACCATGAAGCCCCACAGTACCTCCAACGGTCCAACGGGAAAATATCGGCAAAGCACACCATGGCCACACTGTTGTGGGCCGCCTTGTTTTGGAATGGTGATGTCACCAATTGGTGCACCAATAACTGAGTCATTACCACAGACACCACGTCGTGGAGCACGATCATTGTCGCGAGGATGGGGTGGTGAGTCACGTTGTTATTGTTGCCCAATAAGGTTCTGCTTGGCTCCATTTGCGATGAGGTTCTGCTTAGCTCCATTTGCGACATGTCCACATTGCGATAGCGGAGGATACTGCCAATGGTGTACGCAGTGTACACCAACAACAGGGCACACGAAATAAGTCCGAATTTCATCGGAAGCTCTTGTGACTGCCACGAGGCCGTGGGCCGCAGGATCGATCTACTTTGATGTGCTTTTGAGCCTTCAAAACCCCCCGCAGACGGAGCGCTGCTTCACGGGGCCCGTACGATGCATGGAATCTGGGCGATAGGACGTTGTTGTATCACGGCTCTACCAGTTTCCTAAAATGAGCTCTGGCTTTCTCTATCTTTATCTTATCTGAAAAGGCTCGTTGCATCATGTCGAAGTCAACAACCATTGTCCACTGTACTTCTGTTGTTACACTCGCGGCCCTAGCGACGTGTTGGAACATTCGCTTTGCATTCCCGAACCAGGAAATTCCGAGAAAGAAATATTCTCGAAACCTTCGCAGACTGATGAAGACCAGGAAATTGTAACCCAGACTGCTGGGTGCAAATCTCGTACCCCTTGACAGTCGCCACAGCGACATGTTGGCGGATTGGGACGGTCCAGCCAAGTTCGCTTTGTTGGGTGGAGGCAAATACAACTCCAACCCTTCCTGCGGTTGCGCATGCTTCGCAAACAACACTGCTCTAGTTCTCCATCCTTTTCGTGTCAGCACGACTCCCTCTGTTCTTGCATTCATGGTGACGGAGTCTCCGACATGGAAGCAGCAATAGGTGCCTCAGTCGAAGGTCGTAAGGTCCACAGCCGTGCACGAGGACATCCCCGATCTTGCAATAAGAACGCCCGCAGAGTCAGCCACGTGTGGCAGCAGCCGGATCACTACAGCAGAGTGCTCCATGCTCGCTGTCGTGCCCCAGAACCATGTCTTGGACTTCTTGCTTCACCTGATCTGCTGTATGTAGGTCTTTGTCTTTGCCGGTTCCTTCCAGCATCAAGGATGTCAGTTCAGAAATGAGACCGGGTGCGGAAGTCCTCAAGTTTTTCTTCGCGACCTTGGCTGAAAGCGGCATGAAGAAGCGCATAACCGCGCGATCATTCAGCCCAGGGACCTGCGACCGCGTGGACTAGCCGGGAACTCGATCGAGGAGTCGGGCTCTGGCACCGAAGGCTCTGTGGGCTCCTGTTCCTCTTCCTCCTCTTGCGCTGTGGCTGGAGCAGCAGAGCCGGCAGAGCCGCCCGGCGTCGTTGGGCCATTCTCGTGGCGCTCGTGCTCGATACGGGCCTCCGCGCTCTGCAAGGGCTGCATAGGGCTGTGTGGGCCAAGAGAAGCTGCCACTCAGAAATTCTTAGAAATTCCCAGAAATTCCTAGAAACTCCCAGAAATTCCTCCCTAGAAATTCCTCGAAATTCCTAGAAGTTTCTAGAAATTCCTGGAAACTCCTGGAAGTTGATTGAAATTTTTAGAAATTCCTAGAAACTCCTGAGCCTGCGCCAGGGCTTCGATGACATGCGGGTCCTCTTCGGCCCGCCACGCACTTTCCAAGGCGGCCCGTCGCTCAGCACGCCTGCAAGTCAAAGCCCGGATTCAGGCGGCTACGCAAGTACGGTAGTGGAGGCGACTGGCCCGATGATGGACTGACACAGACAACTGTCAGGATGTCTAGCACTAGTGAGGATAGAGTAGTCAACCTGCACGGCAAGGCCTCAGCCACGCAGACCATCCAAGAGCATGGAAAGTTGTGGACATGTGTGTCGGGAGCGGCCTGGAAATGCGTGAACGCTTGCTGAAGAAGCGCAGGCCACAAGTAAAACAATGCACGAAAATACCGAGGTCTCCACGCGGTAACTGTCACTTCCTTTCCAGCAAACGTCTTGATGGTCAGCTGCCGGCTGTGCAAATGCAAGCCTGGACTCACAATCAAGGAGGAGCTTGCAAGCAACGGATGGTCATCACGACGATTCTCCATAGTCATTGCGTCAAGTGTATTTTTGTATGAAGTGAACGCTGTGATACGGGTGTTTACTATTACTGTAACAGGTAGGAGGTGCAAACAAAATGCTCTCGCATCATCACTCTGAGAAGCGGAGCCTGTACTATAGCGACTGGCAGCCCCAGGCCTATTCAGTTCGTATTCATTCACGCGTTTATGATCCTTCATGCCTGTGGGCACTCCAGCTTCCCTGACACTGTCAAGCCTGCTTCACGATCCGAACACGGAATCAATCCACCATTTCCATTCGCCACAGGCTTGTGGGAGTGGGAGCGCAACAAGCACAACCATCAGGCTAACCATCAAGGTTAGGTTTTGCTAGCCGCTGGCTTCGGTCGTCTTCCTAAGCGCGCAACACTCACAAACCCAAAGACAACCCGTTCCAAACCCTCCGAAGCACAAACACACGCACACACACACACACACAGAGACAGAGAGAAGCCGCACAGTTTGCCCTCCCTGTGTCGAGTAACGGGGCTGCGCACCCAAGAGCTCGGCACGTTCGCGCCGTGCCTCGGCAGAGTGGTACCTGGGCATCTTCGGGGAACACACACATGGCCTTACTGCCACCTGCATTTTCTGAGGCCGTGGGGCTCAGCAGGATAGGTTTTGGTACTTAGTTTGATTTGGCGGATTCGCGATTCCTGTCCGCTCCCAACCGCAGCCTCTCAGGTTTACCGTTACCCCAGACGTCTTCCTTGACTGCCCTATTGAATAGAGTGGGCAAAACACGACCACATCGCGACGAAGGGGCCGAGACCCTGCAACAGCGAATCACGGTTGAGGTCTCTACCCGTTACTGACCACATCCTGCTTACGAACGTAAGAACGCCACCGATACTGCATTGATGAAAAATCTTCGCAGCCCGAGCACTTCACTTTGAAGTCGGAGACTGTGGAAAGCTCGTTGGACATCTGATAATAGACCGGGTCGCCCACCATGGGTGCACGCAGCCCAAAGGCACAGTGTGCGCGTGTCTGGTGATACCGTCCGCTATATGGGTTCATGGACAGGAGAGTCAAGCCACCAGCGAGCGGAGAATACAAAACCGAAGAATATTCAGTCATGGCAGGCAGGCCACCGTCATCTTCTCTGACAGGTTTCGCAACGGAACCTTTGCCGAGCCTCTCTAAAGCTAAAGGCATCGAGACTTGCCCTGATTTGGGGGTCCGTCCACAAACGACAGCCCATAGCTCTCGCTTCCAGAAAGAGCGTTGTGCCACCATGTCTTTGGCGAAAGATGCCGCAGCCTTGTGCCGCGCAAGCAGCAGCACACCGCTCATCTCCGTGCTCAGGCGGTGGACCAGCCGTGGTGGCTCCTGCTGCCATGTAGGCAAGGACATGGAATTTTGCAGGATGAATTTTGCTCTCCCTGCAGGTCCTCCATTCCGAACTGGAGGCTGGGCAGCAATCTCAGCAAGTGCATTCCACCGACATGCTTGCCTGGAGCGACGGACCACCCAGAAGGTTTGTCCAAGACCAGGAAGTCGGTGTCCTTGTAGATAATTCCTTGGTCGTGTACGCGCATCAACTCTGCCACTCAATACACAGAGAAGCCTGTGACTTACATTCGGCTAAGAATCGTCTGAGCAACCATCCGGGAGTTTCCTCCTTCTGTTGCACCGGCAAGCGCTTCTTAGGCACGGGGCTCATGACCTTCGGAAAGTACACCAGGTCCTAAGTTCCGACAGGTTTTCAGCGCTGCCGGGACTGCGTCTGCAAGTGTCTGCAAGCACCTCATTCTCTGGTGAATGCCATGTCTCATTTGCTTTCAACGGTGTCCGCCCTTGACACATAGGTCGAAAGCGCGGAATCACGACGCTTCCGCGATGCTGCTCTGCAGTCGCATTCGGGCTCATCACCTAGTCCCCGCACAGGCAGGAGCAAAGAGAGAGAGAGAGAGTGAAAGAGCGCGAGACAGAGAGAGAGAGAGAGGAAGCGAGAGAACGCCTTGTCAAGGCCAACTCTAATTTCAAGGCCGAGACACCCAGACCTGCCTTGAGCTTATCAGCTTTTGGCCAGCATTCCAGTTTGAGCCTTGGCTTCAAGATCTGTGGCAGGGGCCCAAAGTCGCACCTCGCTTGGCCTCCGGCAAACATGCTTCTGGAGCCAGCGATCCAAACGCATCGGCTCAGCATCTGCAGGCACGCGGTGGCACGCGAACGGGCCAAGGTCAAAGGGACGTTCACCTGGGCTTGGACATGCTCGGATTGTCCTAGCCAAACCCACGAAACGCTGCAGGAAACTGTTCAGTCGAAGCGCCGGGCAAATGAGCGGGATTTTCAAGCTGCAGCCGAAGTGTGGCTAAACGGCGCTGCCCCCATCTCCTCCAAATAGCCGCCCATCCCTGCAAGTGCATCTCATCGCTGGCTTGGTAGGTACATCTAACAGATTCAAGTTTACTTGAGCTTTTAGCAACTGTCGTGCTGCATTTTGTCTGCAATGTATTGTACTCTGCTTCTTTGGTGGACCAGTGGCGTACCGTTCTGATCTTCTTGGCCAGAGTCACGAGTCTCCACTAGTTCTTTGCTTGGCGGGGCAAATCTGCAGATGGCCCGCCGACAGTGCGCATTTGTTTTTTGGTCAGCTGCCGCCAATGTCTGAGTCGGCCTCAAATAACTGCGGCGTTTTTGGCGTTCGCATTCCTGCGCCCTTGGGGCGACCAATGCGCGGCGCCTCTGGAAATAAGCCGCAGACAAGTCACCCAATAACATCTCATCTATATCTAGTTCCTCAAGCACTCTCTTCACGACCCGACGCCCCAACACCTTCTCGACTACTCTGATTGTGATGCGGGTTGGGCGAACGCCCTTCCCAAGCATTTCACGGAATACCTTCTCCACATCTGGGATAGGCTCATCAAAAGCGTGAGACTCGCCAACTTGTGGACCTGCAGAGAAGCGCGACAGTGCCAGGATGCCGTGTATAACTCGAAAAAGCACGCCACAAGGATCATACATGCAGACGTCTACAGATGTGCTCAGAATCATTCTTGATCGTCTCATTCGCCACGCCTACTTCTCAACACTCGGGCTCGGGGGGTTTGTGCCGTTCCAGTCTCATCTCGGTTCTGTGCAACTTGGCTTGATTAGTTACTCGCCCTCTCGAACCCCTCGCGGAGAGCGGC